TCCGGGCTGGGGGCAAGCACAATGACCTGGATGACGTGGGCAAAGATGTTTATCACCACACTTTCTTTGAGATGCTGGGCTCCTGGTCTTTTGGCAGTTACTTCAAGGAATTAGCATGTAAGATGGCTCTGGAACTTCTCACTCAAGAGTTTGGCATTCCAGTTGACAGACTCTATGTTACTTACTTTGGAGGGGATGAAGCAGCTGGCTTAGAACCAGATCTGGAATGTAAACAGATCTGGCAAAATTTGGGGTAAGAATGCAACCAACTTGCTTAGAGTATATGGGAAGAAAGTGATGCCTGAGCCAGTGGTGGAGTCTTCTGATAAATTGGAATACATTGCCATTTCTCATTTTGTGGTGTGCATTTTGAAGGGTAGTTGAGGGTGACTAGGAATAATTTATCTTTTTAAATTTTTTATTTGGTGGTACTCAGGATCAGATGCAGGGCCTCACCCATGCAGGCATGTGCTCTTCTACTCCACTATACCCTCAGCCCTGGGAAGAATCATCTTTTTGTGCATTCATTGCTTTGCTCTGCTCTGCTTTTATTTTATTCAATTTTGAAACAGAGTCTCACTAAATCGCTAAATTGCCCAGGCTCACACTGCTGTTTTTCTGCCTTAGTCTCCCACAGTGATGGGATTACATGTGCATGTCTCCTTGCCTGGCTGACAGTTAAATTTCAGGGTGGGTTTTGCTGGAAACACACTACGTCTAAGCCTAACAGTCATTTTGAAAAATAAAAGAATATGTGTAGAGAAAACATTTGCTTAAATTCTGCTTATACTCTATTTTGTTTTATTTCTTCAGTAGCAGAGATTCAGCTCGGTGGGTACTGACCTATATCTACAGCCCATTGCATTTGTGACGTGGTTTTGGTAAATTGCCCAAGCTGGCCTCGAGCGTGCAGTTCTAACTCAGCTTCTCAGGTAGCTGGGATTACAGTCATGTGCTACTACACTGGCTATATTTTTATTGAGTCATGATCATAGCATACATATATATTATAATGTAATAACACTTAGGAGTATGTTTGGGCCCAGGAGATAGCTCAGCAGTCTAAGCACCTGCCTTGCAAGCTGAAAGATCCTGGTTCAATCCCTAGTACTGCATGCCCTGCTGGCCCCACTTCAGGCCTACCGAGCCTCCCACCAAAACCAGGCATGGTAGTGCATGCCTGTAATCCCAGCACTGGGAAGGCTGAAACAGTAGTATCACTATAAGTTAGAGCTGCATAGCTGAGATCCTGTACCAAATACATAAAATTAAAAAAATAAATAAATATATATATATATATGTTTTTCCTTTTGGTGGCATTTGTATGCAGGTTAAATTAATGTTAGGAACTGACAGAGAGGGCCTTATTGACCAGAAATTACAAGATCTCCATTTGTGACAAGAGCAAGGCTGGGCAGAGTCCTGATCAGTGACTCTAACTGGGCTTGACATCAACTCTTCTGCTCCATGCAGGCTGGATGACACCAAAATCCTCCCCGGCAACATGAAGGATAACTTCTGGGAGATGGGTGACACAGGCCCATGTGGTCCCTGCAGCGAGATTCACTATGACCGGATTGGTGGCCGAGATGCTGCACACCTTGTCAACCAGGACGATCCCAATGTGCTCGAGATCTGGAACCTTGTGTTCATCCAGTATAACAGGTAGTGGGGCCCGCTCCATTCCTGTGAAGAGCCTTTCTCTGAGCCCAGTGGAAGAAGGGAAATGAGCTCCTGCTTCATGGCTGAAGGCTCTTTTTAGAGCCTTGTCTTTGGGGACATGGAACAGTTGTGATTCAGGCGCTGCAGGCATTATGGGAAACTGTAGCATCTTTAAAAATTTTATTTATTTATTTATTTATTTATTTATTTATTTATTTATTTTGCAGAACTGGGGATTGAACTCAGGCCCTTGTGCTTGCCAGGGAAGTGCTTATTCCACTGAGCCATCTCCCTGGGCCCCCAAAATTGTATTCTTAAGTTTCCTTGATGATCTTTGGGACAGGGCTAGATCTATTCTTTTATAGACTAGTTACTTCACATAATACCTTTTTGTATTCTTAGTGCTGGGCATTGAACCCAAATCTTCTAGGCAAGTGTGCTCTCCCACTGAGCTGCACCTCTGGCCCTGTGTGTTAGTTTCCTGAAGGCTATTCTGCAGTGTTGTTCTTCATTCCACACTGGCCTTGAATTCATTATGTAGCCTAGTCTGTGGCTTCAGATTTGTGTTTTGTTTTGGGTTTTGGGGGGTTTGTTTTTGGGTTTCGGGGGATAAGGTCTCACTCTGCAGTTCAGACTGACCTTGAATGCCAGATATAGCTGAGGCTGGCCTTGAACACCCACCAGTCCTCCTGCCTCAGCCTCCTCACTGCTGGGATCATAGGCATGTGCCACCACTCACATCTTTGCCTCATTTAAATGACTCCTGGAATGTTGCACTTTCCTTTGCCTTTGCCCTCCATTCTTCTTGTGAAACCAGACAGAGGCATCTGGTGAACAGCCATGGACTGCAAACTATGCTGTATGAGTTTGAACTAGCCCTTCTGGAGGGTGATAACCTGATCCCTCCTTCAGCCTCTCCTTTTCTGTCATGCAGGGAGACGGATGGCACTTTGAAACCTCTTCCCAAGAAAAGCATTGACACGGGGATGGGGCTGGAGCGTCTGGTGTCCGTGCTACAGAATAAGATGTCCAACTACGACACTGACCTCTTTGTTCCCTACTTTGAAGCCATTCAGAAGGTATGGCTCCTACTGTGGACACTGAAACTTCTATGGAACTTCCCAGACTGGACTTGCTGTCAAAGATAAATGGCCATTTGCTTGGCTGGCTGGGTCTCTGCCAGTAGCAGGAGGTGCTAGGCACAAGGCAGTGCAATGAGTTTCGTGTAGGGATCACCGGGAGGCTCTTTTCTCCCCTGTGGTCACCTATTTGGGTGAGAGGCTGGCAGGATGGGCACCCTTTCTCCATAATGGTCCTCTGTCCTCTGGGAACTTCCTGGCAGGGCAGCGCCAGAAGGGCTGACTGCTCACAGACCACCTTCTGTGTTTTACCTGTAGGGCACAGGCGCCCGTCCCTATACTGGGAAAGTTGGGGCTGAGGATGCTGATGGGATTGACATGGCCTACAGAGTGCTGGCTGACCACGCTCGGACCATCACTGTGGCCCTGGCTGACGGCGGCCGGCCTGACAACACAGGGCGAGGGTGAGTATATCACACAGTATTGGGACAGATGCCATGCCTGCTCCAGCCTTTTTTTTTTTTTTTTGAGACAAGGTCTCAGTGAGTTGTCCAGGCCGGAAAATCATCCTGCCTCAGCCTCCCAGAGTGTGGAATTAAAAGCTTGTGCTACCATGACTGGCTTTAGAACTCTATGGAATATGGAACTTAAAGCCATTTTTTTTTTTTTTAAGATGACATCCCAGTTGTTGATTCTTTTTTTAAAAAAAAAATATTTATTTATTTATTTATTTTGTGTGTGTGTGGCCAGCTCAGCCCACCAGGGGTGGGGCTGGCTGGCATGTGGTGCTGGGGATTGAACTGCGGTCCCTGTGCTTTGCTTAGCTTAGCTTAGCTTGTTCTAAGTAGGTGCTCCAGACCACTGAGCCATCTCACCAGCCCCTAAAGCCATATTTTATTATTGTTTCCTTGTTCTGTGGAGGTGGGGGCCAGGGAAACTTTTTTTTTTTTTAAGGAGAAGGTGGTTTTCTGTTTGTGTCAAAAAGATGCCATTTAGGGCCAGGGAGATGGCTCAGTGGAATAAGTGCTTCCCCAGCAAGCACAAGGGCCTGAGTTCAACCCCCAGTTCTGAAAAAAAAAAAAAAAAAATGCCATTTAATGGGGGTTCAATCCTCGGGCCTGCCATGCTGGCCCTGCCCCTGGGGCACACTGAGACGGCAATTGAGACTGGGCATGGGGTTGTATACCTGTAATCCCAGCTCTTGGGAGGCAGTAAACAGGCAGATCACTATAACTCTGATCTAGTACTAAGACCCTGAACATGCTGGAGACCCTTCCCTAAAATTAAAAAAAAAAAAAGATGCCATTTAAGAGGAAGGTTTGTCTACTAAGTAAAGACAATAAGGATTATATTTCAGTTTGTCTGGAAGGGTTGTGGCAGTAAGGGTGAGTATTGACTGACTAGCTGTAGAACAGTCTGTGACCGTGGGCCTGGGAGTCCATGTGAGTCTGCATCTGTTCTGTTCTTCCTCTCTGGGGAGTTAAACTTCTCAGAAGGACAGCAAAGGAGGGTTCTTCTATGTAACCCTGGACGTGTGGCACTGGGTGTATTAACTGAGTTTATGTCGGAGTCGACCTTAGTAAACACAAGAAGCCGGCTTGTGTGAGAAAAAAGTCTTTGCAAGCACATGATGGAAAATTTGTTGTGTTGTTTTGGGTGGAAATTAGGACACACCCCTCAGCCAGGCATGTTGTCTAGCTGGGTGCTAGGGTCTGCCTTTTCCAGGTATGTGTTGCGACGGATTCTCCGCCGGGCTGTCCGATACTCCCACGAGAAACTCAACGCCAGCAGGGGTTTCTTTGCCACATTAGTCGACGTTGTTGTGCAGTCCCTGGTGTGTATATTTGCCTGCTCCCTCTGGGCTGTAGCCATACCCAACGGGAGGGAGTGTACTGTTCACAGGCCTTGTTAAGAGGGCTCCGGTTATAGTATCTGGAGTCACTGAGTCCCCTTTCATCAGGGAGACGCATTTCCTGAGCTAAAGAAAGACCCAGACCTGGTGAAGGACATTATTAATGAAGAAGAAGTGCAGTTTCTCAAGACTCTCAGCAGAGGACGTCGCATCCTGGACCGGAAAATTCAGAGCCTGGGAGACTGCAGGACCATTCCAGGTGAGCCCCAGTTGATATCTTCCTCTATCGGGGCTGCGGCATCTTTCTGGGAACGGCAGACCCACTGTAAGACTAGTGGGCTCCTGTGCCGCTGAGGGGGAGTGTAGCTTGGTTAAACAGCTCTGCATTGTGTAAGATGGAAGTTAGAGTAGAATTATAAAAGTAATACTTTGTTGTAGTAAGGTATTCAGTACATAAGTAAAAAGTGAAAATCCTTTCCCACGCTCATTCTGAGGTAACAACTTTATTTTTTCCTGAGGTAATAACTCATGTTTGATGTATAATTAGGATTTTTCCTCTGTATGCATGTAAATGTGTATACTTTTGTGTGTCAGTGTGCACACTTTTCAAGCAGAAATGGGAACACTGGAGCCAGGCATGGTGGCACATTACTCTAATCCCAGGACTTGAGAGGCTGAGGCAAGAGGATTACCATGGGTGTAAGCCCCACCTGAGCTACATAATGATTTCAAGGCCAGTCTGAATTACATAGCAAGACTGTCTCAAAAAAAGAAAACCAGGGCGGGGGAGATGGCTCAGTAGAATAAG